CAGCGACAAAAAGACGACAAATAATGTCTACGTCATCCCTAAGACGTAACAGATGCCAGCAACAAGCAGAACGGAATGTCTTCAGATTAAAAAATAGCATGCCAAACAAATTCGAAGAAATGATGTTAAGTAGTCTTGGTAAAACAGTGACTATGACAACACAAGAAATTGATTCTCAAGAGAATAAAAAGACCCATGAGAAGGTTACACTCAAACGCAAAAGCTCCGGACTCTCGTTCTACAGAAAGTCTATTAAGAAGAAAGAATTCACACAGCTAACGCCAGATTCCATTTCTGCTCTAACAGTCTTAATAGAATTTATTGGGAAAAGCTACAACATCAAAGACGAAGGATTGTTCCGTAAAACAGGTAACATAAGCCGCCAGAAAACGGTAAGAAAACAACTTCTGGAGAGTTCCATGATTGACTTGGAACTAATTTCGTCTCATGATGGTGCAAACGTGTTAAAGAACTTCATACGAGACCTCCATGAACCACTTTTAACAAACAGATTCCATAATGTGTATACTAGATTGGCATCTCTACTGACAACAGAAGATAAAGCCAAGACAACAACTTTGAAAGCTCTTCAACTGCTGATGTTTCTGATGCCAAGTGACAACTATTGCTTACTGCGACAATTGATCACACTTCTTCATCGGACATCAAAAACACCGGAAAATCTCATGACAGCGGAATCATTAGCTATAGTATTTACTCCGCATTTCCTTTGCAACAAATCATTGAGTGGCTCCGAACTGCAAACAACCACCAATACATTTTGTCACTTGGTTGCATTCATGATTGAATCTGGAAATAATTTGTTCAAAATTCCACAAGATCTTGCTGAAGAAGTGTCAAAATTTTGGAAAGAGATGGAAATTCCTAATCATTTGTATCTCCAAAGTGCTACAAAAAAGAATCGTCCACTGAAAACGTTAGATGACAGCGTGTTGATAGATTCGCCTAAAATAACTCCCAAAAAGAAGTCAGGAAGACGATCTCTTGTTCATGTTATTGACTTAGGAATTTCACCAGATAAAAGGAGGAAGAGTAGATTGTTTTCACCCCGCCGTAGACAAAGTAGCGAAAGCAGTGACGCTAGTTTGCCAGAGAGGAGACCTGTTCCAGATATCGTGGTTAGAGAAGTCGATGAAAAGTGTTGTATTGGCAAAAACCAACCAGAACAGAGGCAATGGAATTTTCCTCCCTCGACGACCAAAAACAAACCTGTTGCCATAATTAAACCCATCTCTCGTTCTCCGATTTCACAGTTTTTCAGGAATGTTCCTCAGCAACTACAGAAAGTTATGCAAACTCCAAGATCAAGGACGCCAATGTTATACCAGTCGCCACAGTTGGACATGCCTCAACCGGACATAGAAGACGATATAGAAATTATGTGTTGAGGAAATTAAAATCTGAAATGCAATATCAATCAAGTGCCAAAATCAAACATTTAGAACTGCATGACAAAAAAAAGTAATTGTATTAATAGTTGTATATTGTTGTACATAACTGCTATCATATGTATTAGTGCTTAAATCTAAGGCTTAGATGTAAAATAAAATTTCAGTTTATCAGAACATTTGTTTATACGTTTTCTAATCAAATATGAAAATACGGAGCTATGATATGAAAATACTTAATGAAACGAATCATTGGGCGAAGAAGACGAATAGGTTACTTTATGTCATTCAGAAGCGATAATATAGGTACACTCTATATGAATAAATTCTAATCCCTTTTGGTAACCGACAACAACAAAAACAAACAGCATTTCATTGTATATGAGATAATAAAGTCACCCGGATGTTGATTAAATTTTTTTATATTAAAGCAAAAATGATTGCAGTATACCGATGTTATCAAAGGATCACAAGTCCAGGTATAAACCGACAAACATGGGAGTAAAAATATTTACATCAATTCGAAATGGAGACGCCAACATCTTATGCAGCATCCAATAGCAGCACTTTCAATGTCAGGAACAAAACAAAACCGGTGTAGTATTGTCTTATTCATGTGGGTGAAAACGTTGGACCTATGACAGAAGTCAAACAGTTTTCTATTTTTTTTTTAGAAACGATTAACCTATTCGTGATGGTGTTAGCAGAAGTTGTGAAGTAATAATTTCAACTGTTCTTCCCCTCTTAACCTATTATAGAGACGGTATACTTCTGTTGTTAAATCACCATACCAAAACATTAACATGAAAATATTTAAAGGGGCATTAGCTACGAGATAAAAAAAAGAATTAATTTAAATATGATTTTTTTCCCAATCATTTATGAAAGTGAAATTATAATTCGCTTTTAGCAGCCAGTTTGGTTCAGTTTTGTCAAAATCAGCTAAGAAACATCGCTGATGAATTATTCACTTGCAAGTGAATAATTCAACCTCGTTGAATCCGTATTCATTTGACCTTCTATTTTTACCCCTTAGCTAGAGATGGGTTACGCATGAACTAGGCGTGTTCAGCTATCAAAAGGAAAAGAATGTCAACATTGAAAGTGAAACAAGGTAAACCATTTGGTTAACTGATTCTTTTAACCTATAATATGAAACCAAACAGACCTGAAAAAATCAAATTGCACGTGTTCGCTATCTATTTATATCTATATTTATGTTTATATGAATGTCGGCAGTCTTCGGAGGTTACCTAGATGGTTAATTAGATGGCGTCTAGACTAAAATACACACGAAATGTGGATACATATTATCGAGTCCATACATTGTTAATTGTTCATTTTATTCTTTTTGTAATATAAGTTGGATATAGGTTTTAGTAGGTTATAAATCAAACATGAAAATTTTGGTCAAATCGGTGAAAATGAATTTGACAGTTAATGCCCCTTTAATACAATATAGTCTTCTGAGTTAGTCAAGGAAAACAATTGGTCAAATGTAACAATCATTGACTGTGTGATGTGACACAATGGCTTATGATGTGACATTTGTGGTTAACACGAGATACGCAAACGCAACACACTGGAACAAATGGTATTTTACAACTTAAGAATATGGTTTACTTTAGAAAAACTGAAGTCATCACGTTTGTCATTATACTCCCGTTTACGGGTACTATGGTATACCGTTGTCCGTCCGTCTGTCCGTCCTTCGTCAACATGTCGGACAATAATTCAAAAAAGCTTTCACCAATTTGCATGAAACTTTGGTGAATTGTTTATATCTATTGACGTGAGCTCCCTTTCGTTTTTTTATAAATTTTAGATTTTAAGTTTCCGAGTTATGGTGTTCTATTCATTAAAAAGGGGGATTTTCAAGTTTTCGGACAAAAACTCAAAAACGCTTTCACCAATTTGCAAGACACTTTGGTGAATTGTTTATATCTATTGACATGAGCTCCCTTTCGATTTTTTTAAATTTTAGATTTTATGTTTCCGAGTTGTGGGGTTTTATTTATTAAAAAAAGGGTGATTTTCCAGTTTTCGGACAATATCTTTCAAGTGCTTTGAGGAGTTTTTCATGAAACTTTGGTGACTGGTTTATATCTATTAAGATAACCTCCCTATAGTTTTTCATAAATTTCTGATATGACATTGAGAAGTTATTGAACTTTATTCTTTTAAAAAGCGACGGGCGTGTCATGCGCCCATGGCGCAGCTGTATATTTATAATCGTTTTGATTTTTCCAATAGCCCAATTTTCAAAAAAAAGATCATGCTAAGAATCCACTGTGAGTGTGAAACCGTGCATTTCAAAGTTTTGCTAAGTAGCCATAGTATAGACGACCAGTAAAATTAAATGGAAAGTTTGAATAAACATAACATATATATATGAAAATCTCGAAAAATCTTATCTCTTCGTTGATTATGGCTATCTGCTCGAGATAGTTAATAGTTCCGAGGTGTAATAATACAATAAAAATATGTAGACATATTGATTCGATCCTCTTGTCTCCATTGTGTAAAAACTCATCAGAGGTACCAGGTTTATAGTTTTGAACGCCAGACGCGCTATTCGTCTACATGAGATTCATCAGGCGCTCGAATTAAAACACATAGAAGACCAAATCAAATACGAAATTGTAGAGCTTTAAAAACCGAAAATTCCGAAAAGTAAGACGGATTGCATGAGAAAAAAATACATCAGTGTTTTTATTTATTGCCATATTCATTTATGAAATAAAATGCAAGTACTTACCGGTACTAAAGAACACAAGTCCGCCGAGTCATGCAAGTACAAATGCCATAAATTTATACAACAAATGATTAAATATTTTATAGAAAATAATTTGAATATATTTTTAAGAAAATTCTTGGTTTATAATTTCATACTGCAAATGTAGTAATGGGTCTACATACTATGGACTTTGAAAACCTTCAAAATCATAGCAGCGTTTCTTTTGGAATTTTCCATAAACATTTCTCAATTAGAATACGATTTCCCGACAATTTCAACGGTAACTGATTTACCAGATTTGTATATCTTATGGCCGAAAATTTCAAAAGTAAGATCGAACGTGCAAGTTAAATACAGTTATGATAAAATTCTTACCATTCCAACAATAACCTTCGGGAATTTATCAGGTAGCACCTGCTTCATAGTATATAAGCTCCCGAATGAAGATGAAATGGTTTTTTGCCTATATACTATGGCAATGGAAAACCGCCGTCCGTTCTATACAGACATACTGTTCTTAAATCACACAAAGCTATATAGAAATAATTAAATAACATATTGATTGAAGCGGGAGAGGATCACCTGACGAGTCAAGTGGAATCAAGGAATTGTGTCTGACTTAAAACAAAAATCCACATGTTGAATAATATGCAATACCCTTCGGGAGCACACCAGATTAGCAACTGCCTCCTTAAATAGACTTTTATATTGGGGTTCTGTTTAGCGGTCACTTTTTCTGTAATCCGGTTAAGCAATATTTTTCTTTACTCCCCTAATGATTCCTTATCGTATAGTTTCTCGGCTGAAAACACGGTTAATAATAGGTGTATCCGAATACGAGTCAACATTTAGAATATTGACTTCCGGAAAATTAAACGATGAATATCAACACGTTTGACTGGACTGAAGGACTTGAAAACGAAGAAATATACAGCAATGACAAAGTTCTCATCTCCAAGCTGAAGATTTCGAAGGTATGTCCCCGGTTTCTTATATGGAGACGAGTTGAATATCAGATAATCTATAAAGTGTTGATTTTATGTATAAAATTTACCGGACTTGCTTATTATTTTGTATTGTATTGTTTCTATTACCAATAGATGCTGCCATCATGTAACTTCCTTAAATTCTCGGTGCCCCAAGACTGTCCGGGTACGCAATTACGTTTACAGCCCGACACAGTAAGGCGGGTTTATTATTTTAAGAAAACTTGTTACCTTAGCGACAATGTCAATTTAAACTAGATCTATAAGGGAGCTGCCATTTGATTTTAATGGGGGTGGGGGGGATAAGGATGAAAAATGTTGTCCTGCATTTTTATTAGTTGTAAAATCTGTCCTGCCTTTTTATTTTCCACTCTATTCGGTCCTGCCTTTTTTTCTTTAGTTTATCCTGACTTTTTTTGCATAAATTGTCATCCTGCCTTTTTTTTACTCAAAACTCCAGTCCTGCCTATTTTTTTAAAATTTCATCCTAGCCCCCCCCCCCCCCCCTAAAAATCAAATGGTAGCTCCCTAACTTAGATATCATGTATGTTGTAATTGTTGTCACAAGATTGTCAGACAATTTGTTCATTGTGTAATAGACCTGCAACCTGCAAGTTTGCGTACTTGTAGGGAGTACAGTAGATAAACAAGACGGTGACGGGTATCTAGTGCATCTGTATAGTTTTGTACTAACGTACACATTACTAATGGCACCTAACGTACACATGACTAATGGCACCAAAATATAAACTGTGATGTATGAGGGTCGTAATGGGGGTACCTTCATGACGAATAACGGTAAAAAATGTTTGCCAAATGACGTTTACGGTAATTTTTGATGCGTGACGATAAAATGTAATTTTTAGCTCACCTGGCCCGAAGGGCCAAGTGAGCTTTTCTCATCACTTGGCGTCCGTCGTCGTCGTCGTCGTCCGTCGTCGTTAGCTTTTTACAAAAATCTTCTCCTCTGAAACCACTGGGCCAAATTTAACCAAACTTGGCCACAATCATCATTAGGGTATCTAGTTTAAAAAATGTGTCCGATGACCCCGCCAACCAACCAAGATGGCTGCCATGGCTAAAAATAGAACATAGGGGTAAAATGTAGATTTTGGCTTATATCTCTGAAATCAAAGCATTTAGAGTAAATCTGACAGGGTAAAACTGATTATTAGGTCAAGATCTATCTGCCCTGAAATTTTCAGACAAATCTGACAACCTGTTGTTGGGTTGCTGCCTCTGAATTGGTAATTTTAAGGAAATTTTGCAGTTTTTGGTTATTATCTTGAATATTATTATAGATAGAGATAAACTGTAAACAGCAATAATGTTCAGCAAAGTAAGATCTACAAATAAGTTGTCATGACCAAAATTGTCAGTCGACCCCTTTAGGAGTTATTGCCCTTAATAGTCAATTTTTAACAATTTTTCGTAAATTTTTGTAATCTTTTACAAAAATCTTCTTTTTTGAAACTACTGAGACAAATTTAACCATACTTGGCCATAATCATTATTAGGGTATCTAGTTTCAAAAATTTGTTCCCCTGCTTTCCAACCATCATGGCCAACTTGGTTAAAAATAGAACATAGGGGTAAAATGCAGTTTTTGGTTTATATCTCTGAAACTAAAGCATTTAGAGCAAATCTGACAGGTAACAAAAATGTTCATCAGATTTAGATTTATCTGCCCTGAAATTTTCAGACGAATCCGACAACCCGTTGTTGGGTTGCTGCCCCTGAGTTAGTAATTTTAAAAAAAATTTGCAGTTTTTTGTTATTATCTTAGATATCATTATAATATCTTATATCTAATACAATTAATTATGATTTTAACCTTATTTTACATGATTTCCAAAACATCAGTAAATACAGGTGAGCGACACAGGCTCTTGAGAGCCTCTAGTTTTTTATGACGATAGAAAAATCGACTGATTTTGACGTATCACATTCTTTTCAAAAAATAACGGTAACGGATAATTATTTTAGACCTATGACGAATCACGATAAGGATATTTTGACGAATCACGATAAAATTTTAACCAATTTCATTTTGACGCTAACGGTAGCCAAAAAATGACCGTTTGGCATTTGAAGCCTGACGGCAAAGGACATTCTACCATCATGTATATGTGTATATATATGAGGCCCCTCATGGGGCGTCCAAGTAATCACATAATCAACAATTTTTTGCCAATATAATCACATAATCATTAATTTTTTTTTTTAAACAAGATAATCAAATAATAAAAAATACAGTCCTAGATTATCAAATAATCATGAAATATTTGGTCTGGTAATCAAATAATCACTATATAAAAACGGCCAAGTAATCACACATCAAAAACCCATGAGGAGGCTCATATATATATAGAAAAGTTTTTTTTAGGAAAAAAATTATACAGCTTATTAATATACAGTAATTCTATTGATTTTTATCATTTTAGGAGTTTGAGTTTTGAAGACGATAACTCAGATAATTTAATTTTGTAATTATATTTAAAAATTCTATCGTTTGGTTTTCATGAGTAAAAGCTCGTCTTGGAGTCAGAATATTCACTGATTTATGTGTCTTTGTAGGATGATACGATTTCCTACTGACGAATACCTAGTACGTTTAAAATCTGGCTAAGCCCGAAGATGATTCATATTCATACCACAGCATGGAAGTATTATATTAACAATATAATATTTCTATGATCACAGTATCCACGCCTGGGAATCTTCCTAATCTCAACTAAATGTTGGGCATAAAGAAAAATCTGTGGTCGTTCATGGTTGCGATCATCGATGGTATGACTGTCGAAGCGGAGAGAAAGTCGTCAGATAATATGTCCAACGTGCTTATTGTACCTTTATTAAAAAAAAACAGGACAATGTCATGCAGCGTAAAAGAAAATGATCAACGAAAAGAAAAACTGCCAAGCGCTTGTCAGACTTTTAATTTTCAGGTTGGAATCATTTTTCTCGACAATTGAAGGTTCTTAGTATATTTTGTGTCAACCATGTGACCCAGTTACATATTAAACCCATTAGTCTTTACTATACACACCCACTATGTTCTAGGATCCAGACAAGATTAGGACAGATGATATATTTTTTACAGCTTTTGTGCATTAATTCAATAAAAATACAATAAATATAGTGGAGAACATCCAGCGTACGTACGATGCGATAATCGGGGGAATTTAGCGACAATCGGGCGTCCGGTAAATGTTTTATTCGACGGGTATCTGTGTAGTTATGTCACCACAGAGAAACTGCGAAATGAATCGATCATTTAAAGCGCGGTTATAAATTTTAGTCTTAATTTTATTTTCATCTGAATTGACTCGGTGATCTCCCGGTAGTGCCCGGCGGTAGTGTCACTGCGTTCGCCTCGAATGTCGAAGGTCATGGTTACGATCACCAGGCCAAGTGCAACAAAATACGTTAAAATGGAGTTTGTTGCTTTTCCGCCATGTAACCGGGTAGATTGTTGTATTTCTGTCGATTCTTACCATGTGAGCCTCCGGGTTATAATTCCAACTCAACATATTGGTCTAGTTCAAATCATAGTACCGTATTCGTATCACATTAACGTCCTAAATATGCAGGTGATATTTGTCGCTTGACGTTCAGCAGCAATTGGTCATATGAGATGACAATAATTTGGCATTTTTTATTTTATCAATAACTTAAAACTGATGTTGTTGCTTATACATGTGTATATGTTTATACCTCGTGAATTCTCATTTCAGTACATCACACAAAACATACCTGGTCCAGGATGTGAGATGGAGGACTTTGAAGAGAAACTTCTTGGCTGTCAATGTGCATCTTGTGATAGAGACTGCAAATGTACTGCTCGATATGGAAACGCATACAATGATAAGAAAATAGACGTAATCCTTTTTGGATCCAGTGTTAAACCTGTATTCGAATGTAATTCTAACTGTTCATGTGCTACGCAGTGTCAAAACAGGGTAGTCCAGCACGGTATCAGTGTACAACTACAAATATTCAACACTGACAAGAAAGGTCTTGGTCTTCAGACTTTGGAGAAAATGCAAACAGGAACCTTTGTATGTGAATATGCAGGAGAAATTATATCCTTACAAGAGGCACAAAGCAGATGTAGCAAACAAAAAGATACGGACATGAATTATATACTCACTGTAAAGGAACATTGTAAAAATGGCGTACTAAAAACCTATGTTGATCCAAATAAATTTGGAAATATTGGGAGGTATATAAATCACAGTTGTTCTCCAAATTTATCAATGGTTCCCATTAGAGTAGATACTATGGTTCCAAAAGTTTGCTTATTTGCCAATAGAGATATCGACCCCCTTGAGGAGCTATCATTTGTTTATGGGACTTTAAGGCCAGACCAGAAAACCGGCACAAAATGTTATTGTAATTCAAATGTTTGCACAGGATTTATGCCATTCGATGAAGAATTAAAAGGATCTTCTGATTAGTTGGAGTAGACCACGAAGAAAACCAAAAATAATCAGCCGTCTGTCCATGGAAGACAGCCATGTATTGAGCTAGGTCTACACATGTTCATAAATTAAATATAATAGTTTTAGTATATATATATAATGTACTTTTTTTCGGCAACCAACAATCTTCACAACAGAAAGAAATGAATTTATGGCAATTTAACGTCAAAATAACATCAATCATGATTATACGTCACACAAATATATTTATAGATGAAATAAAAGAACAGCGTTCCAATGTCCCCTATGATGTACTTATTTTATCTTGCATTATTTCCATAAAAAATATATGCCATGTCGTTCTAAGCATACATCCACTCGTGATCAAGTTATCAGAAAACAGGAAGTAGGTGTCTAACAGATCAGTAAAGCTCTCACACCTTACAACTCATCTCTGCAAAGCTGTTGACCAAATATGAAGTCATTCTATTCAGTTGTAGTGAAGAAATGTGTTACGGACATGTTTAATATTAATCAATATCAACAAACAGAACGTACGTAATACACCTAATCGCTATTTATTCCATTCCGGATAAGTTCTAAAATTACACAACTTTTTCATCCAGTTGACGCTATCTGGGACCCTGTTTAAACAATGCACCATGCATGATACTTTTCAAAGAGACCTGTTTAAAACATCGTAAATACTTCAAACACAATATTTTTTTGACTTTAATTTGAGTTTGGAAAAAGTGGATCATAATCTATCAAAGTTTCCTATTGATCGCTTTCTAAATTTTTCCCTCCCTCAGCTCGTTACTGATGACCTTTGTTTGCGGCCTGTTGACCCAAACAGGAAGTTGTCTAAATGACTGTTTTTTCCGGATTGGACTAAATAGCGATAAGGTGTATGGACAGATCCACACAGTGCTCACATGAGACTCCCTGTTGGGATTCTGTGTCTTGAGCGATTTTCTGAGGGTGGCCAAATCAGAAAATCGCTCGTGACACAGAATCCCAATACACCTTATCGCTATTTGTCCGCCATTACTGGACATCACACAAGTTCCCGTAAAATTTTGACGTCATAATAGAAAATATCTGACGCCACAATGGAAAAGTGATTGTTGTATGACGTCAAAAGTTCGAGCGGGACTGATTCTCGGGTCAAGCGGGATTAGCGATAAGGTGTATTGGGATCACTCACATGATAAAACTCATTACTGACAAGCTGCTGACAAATACACTGAACTGCAGTCAAGTTTAGCGTTTGGTAATTCATTGATAACATTCTGGCGTATCACGAACAAACAACTTGTAACGTCTCATTTCATTGGCCGAAAGATTTAAATACAACAACAATCGTAGTGTGCACGTGAATTGACACAGGTTACCGACAATGGAATGTACTACGTTACTACTAACGTAAAAAGTAAATGTTTTTGTCAGTGGCGGATCCAGAGGGGGGCGTAGAGGGCGTACGCCCCCCCTTTGCTTGCACTTTTTTTTTTTTTTTTGGTAAAATGATTATAAATCAGACTTGACTTCGTGAACTTTGCCATTTCCCGCGTATTTAATTTTTATGCGACAATTCTTTACTTATAAAGATATTTTTCTCTCGTATTTACTGTAATATATTATTGATTATGTCAAGGTCATGTGATTCGCTACGGTGGAGTTGACCAGTGCGTCGAAAAAACGTCACTCAGTCATTTTGAAATTCAAATTACAGTAACACATTGCTTAGGCTGAGGATGACAAGCATGACACCTTCAAAGCGAGTAAGGATCGAGCAAGAACGTATTGACTTCTATTTCACAATTCCACCAAACAGAAAGTAATACTCTATTACACTCTCAAGAAAAAATAAAGTTCACAGCAATATTATTAACCTACGAAAACATGTTTAACCCCACACGCCCCAGCCCATTAATAACACTGCTGAATAATAATCCCCAGTCAGTAAGCTCTAGATAGATTTAAAATCTATGGTACGGACCATTTGATTTGAGGGGGCAGTCTGAGATATTTTAGAGAAAAAATTCTGACCCTGATTTTTTCCTTAAACAAAAATTCTGGCCGTATCTGGATTGAAAACAATAACGGTAATCTTGTCCACTTTTTTGCTATTAGAAACAAAGATTTTAAACAGAATTATTGAGCATTAAATGAACATGTTGAATGAAAAACGGGCGTAATTTTTTGGGGCCGGGGGTTTGCATGTTGTAAATCCCATATCTGACCGGAATGTCTCTTTCTCCGAACTGATACGCTGAATACTTTTTTCAAGGCCCGACTTCAACCTGCCTGCTCGGTGTGGCCTTTATGTCTCCATTTGTCGACCGTCATTCACAACTTCGTTGTCATTTCAGACTCATTCGTAGCCTTTGGTTGATTTGGAACCCCTCACTTCCCTTGTTGGGTGAAACATTTCAACCAAACATTTGGATTAAAATTGCTAGTTTGTCTTTGTTCGTGTCTGTCGTATTGTAAATTTCATTGAATGGCCGTATATCTTGTTTTCAACAAGAAATCTGTGAGGTTATGCTAACTAACCTTACAACACACGAGACTTTTCCATGTCCATTTTTTACTGACAAATCCCACATTAAATATATTAGTACATAGCTTTGGAACCATCCAATCATTTTATAATAGACAATTAATAGGGAAAATACGGCATCAAAAATGTCCAACCCTTACACTTTAACTATAAAATATACATGCCCCACGTCAGAAACCGTTAAAAAAGTGCATTTTACACTTATTTTATGTTTTTTAGCCAAAAATAGGTCTAAAAAAATGTTCTCCTCGCTCCGCTCGGCAAACTTTACATACTCCGCCCCCCCCCCCCCCCCTTTCCAAAATCCTGGATCCGCCCCTGTTTGTAATGCTATTTTCAAATAGTGGGGTCGAAACATTATTGTGTAAAACAAAAGATTGAAATGTATCATCGGCGAGGATTTTTCTTTTGCACTGATGTGTACCCGTAGTACTAAAAAATGAAAAAAAAATACTTGTGAGTAATGTCGTTGTTTATAACACTGTGTATCATCGCCACCGGAAATTGGGTACTAACGAAGCGGAGAGAAATGGAAAAAAAAGTAAACAAGGTAAGAATTCATTCAATTTAAAGCATTTCTACTGATTTGACGACGGTACCGCTTAAGAAATGTTTTTCTGATATATAATTCTTTAAATTATTAGGCCAATTAGTACAAAATTAAGACAAAATTTTGTGTTATACTCAAGAACTTGCCACTTAGTACCTGAACATTTCGAGGTCGATCGTCCTCTGTCGCCCCATTGGCAAGATATTCAACTGTTTTTCATTATTTTTCCAGACACGTTTTTAGATTATTATAGTGTGGCATCATATTTACTGAAATTTGTTGTCAAAATGAACGTTTTTAAAGAATATAGGCCATAAAAAATAAAGTCTAGGGTACGGCAACTTGCTCATGTTGACAAATTTACTGTATGGCAACTTGTTTTCAACTGTATGGCAACTTGCTAATTTCAAAATATTTATTTGCCGTCTTTTTTAAGAAAATAAAGTATTAAGGTCAAATATCTAATTATGCATTTGATAAAAATACAATTCGCTTGACACCATTTAAGATGTATACACAATATAAGGCTTGAACACAGTCCTATTACATCTTTTACATACCTGATGTATACAATATGAATTCGGCATATACAAAAGCTGGCAAATGTTGTTACTTTCGGAAAGGCATGTCACTGTTTTACTGACCTGTTTTTCTGCCCTGACGTAACGTTAAATGTTACCCATGTCCGTCCGTTCCGTCTCTCCCGTCCGTCCAGAAAGTCCCAATAATTGGTTTCCGTTCTCTAACTTTAGTATGCCTTAAACAAATGTTTTAAAACTTACACGAAATGCTTATCACCACAAAACACAGATCAAGATATAAATTGGGTAGCGTCACTGTTACTGTTCTTGAGTTATGCCCTTTTGTAATTGAAAAAAAGCTAAAGCTGTCGTTTCTGTTCTCAAACTTTAGATTGCCTCAACCAAATGTTTTAACCATACAACATTAGTCAGCATTTGCATATAAGTGATGAACATTTCGGGGATGGGTTGTGGGTGGAGGGAAGGAAGGAGGTAATGGCAGGAGAATTTTTCCGCATTGAATATTTAGAACCATTAAGTGAATGAATTCTCTTTCAACTTTCAGATAAAATGAAATATGAATGAATTATCATTCTCTGCCAAAAAAATGTTGTATTGCTACACCACGGCACCATATTAAGGGAGGTTTGAGTGCTCACAAACATGTTTAAGCCCGCCTCAATATATATGTGTCTGTCCCTGGTCAGGAACATGTAATATAGCGGCTGTCGTAAGTTGCTGCCTGACATATTTGTTTATGATTTTTCATAAATCAGGCAATTTTGATACGGTATGGGTTTTGTTCATTGTGAAGTGTATAGTTGGTCAAATCTATTTCATTTGGACTTTGTTTGAAAGTCCTCTCAGTGAAAACCATTCCACGTCTCCTTTTTCAATTAATGTTATTGTCTTATTTGTAAAAGGCAGATACAGCCAATATATAAGAATAAAGAACATTAATTTTCAAAAAAAAACCTTCATCTCTATATAGTAAGAAATGAACAAGCTCGGTGGCTAACACTGTTTAAATTTAAAAAAATATTAACCTTAGATTAATCATTTTTGAAAAGAATGAAAGAAGAATCCGATACAAGGGATACAAATCCGGCTGTGGCTACGGCATAAACTATTTATATAAACTTTCTACTTGAGAATAAAGATGACCTTGTATGAAGTTTTTTTGGTTGTCATCTTAATATTATATACTTATTAATACAATTCACAAAAGCTAGCATCTTCGACTTATAAGTTTAAAGAATTATAATGAAATAACATCTAATAAGGACAGGTTAAAATATTTTTGAATCCTGATGGTGCATACTCATAAATTCTTTTGGAAAAATCCACGTAAATTTAAATGTTGATTTGATAGCGTTCATTTATTTATTTGCCCTCGTAAACAGTTTTGTTAAAATACCGAAATCGGTAAATTCTTATCGTGAACGAATAAGTCGGGTACACCTTTTTACATTCAGGCGTGCTTAAGTTGCACTTTTTTCTTCTTATTAAGAAAAGTGATTTTAATTTTAGCATCTATCTAAAGATTAGATTATTTACACACACACAAAAATAGGGCTTACTGTTGATTTTGAAACTATGAATTCACATTTATATTCAACCAAGCAGATAGGCCGAGATCCATACCTTTATAAGTTTCAAAACA